CTTTCTGTGGTTTTAGGTGGATAGTGCTGGATCGTCACGAACTAGGAATTTTTCGAAATCTTCCTTTGCACATGTGAGCGAATTATTATGAAGCTTTGGTGCATGACGTTTTCTTATATTACACTAGTAGGTAACATTATCACCGCATACACGGTGTTTTGTCAGTAGTTACGTACCCCTATGGTACAATGATACTTTCAGATAGCAAATTAGAAATCGCATGGCCGCTGTCAGCACTTCTCCCTCCACCACAATGAGATTTTGTTATATTTATTTGTTTATGCTTCTTTTAACATTATATCGGTATCGGGGGGTGGGGGTGGGGGTTCATATGTGAAACAACAGGTTTATAAATGAGTTATATAGTTGTCTGTATAAAACTTGTCTGTATAGTTGTCTGTAGAAGAACATTCCCCAAAATTAAAGAAATGATAATTCCGTGTTTTCTTTTTTGAACGGTTGTTTAGTAATAAAATTAAGGATCCTTTGAGCATTGGTGAGTTTTTTATTCAGTGAGCATGTTTGTAACAATATTTATGCAAATTCTAATATCTAATGATATCACGCAGTAGCTGAACATTCCATCTTTGTGATTTAAATTTCAAGTCATTTAGTAAATAAGGGAATTCTTACTGTTTTTTCTGATATGTTACAAATACTTTTAATGCTGTTCCTGTTCATCAAGTTAGATCATGACATACTAGTTTTAATCTTTTGGAAGCTATATAAACGAAGATCAGATAAGAAATGATTGGCGTATCATTGTTTACAATTTTGTATCTTGTTTATAAAGGATTAATGTCTAACTATGTTCCTCTGCGTTGACACTGTGGTATATAAGGGTACGCATACTGTGGTACCGTATCATTGACCAAAACATCAAAATCCTTAAATCAGGGTACACCGATTGTTAATGTTAAATCAGGGTTCATCCATTGTTAATGTTAAATCAGGGTACATCGATTGTTAATGTTAAATCAGGGTAGATAGATTGTTAATGTTAAATCAGGGTACATCGATTGTTAATGATAAATCAGGGAACATCCATTGTTAATGTTAAATCAGGGTACATCTATTGTTAATGTTAAATCAGGGTAGATAGATTGTTAATGTTAAATCAGGGTACATCTATTGTTAATGTTAAATCAGGGTACATCTATTGTTAATGTTAAATCAGGGTACATCGATTGTTAATGATAAATCAGGGAACATCCATTGTTAATGTTAAATCAGGGAACATCCATTGTTAATGTTAAATCAGGGTACATCTATTGTTAATGTTAAATCAGGGTACATACATTGTTAATGTTAAATCAGGGTTCATCCATTGTTAATGTTAAATCAGGGAAGATAGATTGTTAATGTTAAATCAGGGTACATCCATTGTTAATGTTAAATTAGGGAACATCCATTGTTAATGTTAAATCAGGGTACATCGATTGTTAATGATAAATCAGGGTACATCGATTGTTAATGTTAAATCACGGTACATCGATTGTTAATGTCAAATCAGGGTACATCGATTGTTAATGTTAAATCACGGTACATCGATTGTTAATGTCAAATCAGGGTACAGCGATTGTTAATGTTAAATCAGGGGACATCGATTGTTGATGTTAAATCACGGTACATCGATTGTTAATGTCAAATAAGGGTACATCGATTGTTAATGTTAAATCAGGGTACGTCGATTGTTAATGTTAAATCAGGGTACATCGATTGTTGATGTTAAATCACGGTACATCGATTGTTAATGTCGAATCAGGGTACATCGATTGTTAATGTTAAATCAGGGTACATCGATTGTTGATGTTAAATCACGGTACATCGATTGTTAATGTCAAATCAGGGTACATCGATTGTTAATGTTAAATCAGGGTACATCGATTGTTGATGTTAAATCAGGGTACATCCATTGTTAATGTTAAATCAGGGTAGATAGATTGTTAATGTTAAATCAGGGTACATCCATTGTTAATGTTAAATCAGGGTACATCGATTGTTGTTGTTAAATCACGGTACATCGATTGTTAATGTCAAATCAGGGTACATCGATTGGTAATGTTAAATCAGGGTACATCGATTGTTGTTGTTAAATCACGGTACATCGATTGTTAATGTTAAATCAGGGTACGTCGATTGTTAATGTTAAATCAGGGTACATCCATTGTTAATGTTAAATCAGGGTACATCGATTGTTAATGTTAAATATATAAAGAGAAAAAAAATATAGAAAAAAATAAATAAATAAATAATCTGAGACTATTTTTCCATAAACCTCTATTCTCGTTGTAAGAGTTACAGGTACTTATCATTGCGTGTTTCACTGTTACAGCAGTAAAAGGCACTCGCTGTTATGATGCTGCAGTTCAACAAGACGTTCAATGTACGTACCACTTGTATTTCTGTCACTGCGACTCTTAATAAAACTTATTTGGGAAATACAGTGCTTAGCTTCTTATCATTCTTTTAACCATTAACAAACAACTCTAGAGCCCCTTCTAAGTATCCCTAGACCCGGAATGAATACAAAATGTTAACAAACAACCCTAGAGCCCCTTCTAAGTATCCCGAGACCCGGAACGTATACAAAATGTTAACAAACAACCCTAGAGCCACTTCTAAGTATCCCCAGACCCGGGATGTATACAAAATGTTAACAAACAACCCTAGAGCCACTTCTAAGTATCCCCAGACCCGGGATGTATACAAAATGTTAACAAACAACTAAGTATCCCGAGACCCGGAACGTATACAAAATGTTAACAAACAACCCTAGAGCCACTTCTAAGTATCCCCAGACCCGGGATGTATACAAAATGTTAACAAACAACTCTAGAGCCACTTCTAAGTATTCCTAGACCCGGAATGTATACAAAATGTTAACAAACAACTCTAGAGCCACTTATAAGTATCCTCAGACTCGGAATGTATACAAAATGTTAACAAACAACTCTAGAGCCCCTTCTAAGTATCCCTAGACCCGGGATGTATACAAAATGTTAACAAACAACTCTAGAGCCCCTTCTAAGTATCCACAGACCCTGAATGTATACAAAATGTTAACAAACAACTCTAGAGCCCCTTCTAAGTATCCCCAGACCCGGGATTATACAAAATGTTAACAAACAACCCTAGAGCCCCTTCTAAGTATCCCCAGACCCGGGATTATACAAAATGTTAACAAACAACCCTAGAGCCCCTTCTAAGTATCCCCAGACCCGGAATGTATGCAAAATGTTAACAAACAACTCTAGAGCCACTTCTAAGTATCCTCAGACTCGGAATGTATACAAAATGTTAACAAACAACTCTAGAGCCCCTTCTAAGTATCCACAGACCCTGAATGTATACAAAATGTTAACAAACAACTCTAGAGCCCCTTCTAAGTATCCCCAGACCGGGGATGTATACAAAATGTTAACAAACAACTCTAGAGCCACTTCTAAGTATTCCTAGACCCGGAATGTATACATAATGTTAACAAACAACTCTAGAGCCACTTATAAGTATCCTCAGACTCGGAATGTATACAAAATGTTAACAAACAACCCTAGAGCCCCTTCTAAGTATCCCCAGACCCGGGATGTATACAAAATGTTAACAAACAACTCTAGAGCCCCTTCTAAGTATCCACAGACCCTGAATGTATACAAAATGTTAACAAACAACTCTAGAGCCCCTTCTAAGTATCCCCAGACCGGGGATGTATACAAAATGTTAACAAACAACTCTAGAGCCACTTCTAAGTATTCCTAGTCCCGGAATGTATACAAAATGTTAACAAACAACCCTAGAGCCCCTTCTAATTATCCCCAGACCCGGGATTATACAAAATGTTAACAAACAACCCTAGAGCCCCTTCTAAGTATCCCTATACCCGGGATGTATACAAAATGTTAACAAACAACCCTAGAGCCCCTTCTAAGTATCCCTATACCCGGGATGTATACAAAATGTTAACAAACAACTCTAGAGCCCCTTCTAAGTATCCACAGACCCTGAATGTATACAAAATGTTAACAAACAACTCTAGAGCCCCTTCTAAGTATTCCTAGACCCGGAATGTATACATAATGTTAACAAACAACTCTAGAGCCACTTCTAAGTATTCCTAGTCCCGGAATGTATACAAAATGTTAACAAACAACTCTAGAGCCCCTTCTAAGTATCCACAGACCCTGAATGTATACAAAATGTTAACAAACAACTCTAGAGCCCCTTCTAAGTATCCCCAGACCGGGGATGTATACAAAATGTTAACAAACAACTCTAGAGCCCCTTCTAAGTATCCCCAGACCCGGGATTATACAAAATGTTAACAAACAACCCTAGAGCCCCTTCTAAGTATCCCCAGACCCGGGATTATACAAAATGTTAACAAACAACCCTAGAGCCCCTTCTAAGTATCCCCAGACCGGGGATGTATACAAAATGTTAACAAACAACTCTAGAGCCCCTTCTAAGTATCCACAGACCCTGAATGTATACAAAATGTTAACAAACAACTCTAGAGCCCCTTCTAAGTATCCCCAGACCCGGGATTATACAAAATGTTAACAAACAACCCTAGAGCCCCTTCTAATTATCCCCAGACCCGGGATTATACAAAATGTTAACAAACAACCCTAGAGCCCCTTCTAAGTATCCCTATACCCGGGATGTATACAAAATGTTAACAAACAACTCTAGAGCCCCTTCTAAGTATCCACAGACCCTGAATGTATACAAAATGTTAACAAACAACTCTAGAGCCACTTCTAAGTATTCCTAGTCCCGGAATGTATACAAAATGTTAACAAACAACTCTAGAGCCCCTTCTAAGTATCCCCAGACCCGGAATGTATACAAAATGTTTATAAAAAATCAGCTTATTCAGGATTTCCATGCTTATGCTGTACGATCACCATTATTTCTTCTTTAACAATCAGATTTTCTCAAAAAGAGTTTTTGTCATGATTTTAGATATCACCTTGTTTTTGGTTGCTGGTTTCTAGCCTATTTTTTCTGGAGCTGTTGCTGGAGCCATCAGCTATCGTGAGGGTTGCAGCATGTGGTGCACAAGAACTTCCACAGAGTATCTAGATCTGCCTAGGCAGTATGTGGTGTACGAGAACTTCCACAGAGTATCAAGGTCTGCCTGGGCAGTATGTGGCGCACGAGAACTTCCACAGAGTATCTAGGTCTGCCTGGGCAGTATGTGGCGCACGAGAACTTCCACAGAGTATCTAGATCTGCCTGGGCAGTATGTGGCGCACGAGAACTTCCACAGAGTATCTAGATCTGCCTGGGCAGTATGTGGTGCACGAGAACTTCCACAGAGTATCAGGGTCTGCCTGGGCAGTAGGTGGTGTACGAGAACTTCCACAGAGTATCTGGGTCTGCCTGGGCAGTATGTGGTGCACGAGATCTTTCACAGTATCTAGGTCTCCCTGGGCAACATGTGGTGCACGAGTACTTCAACAGAGTATCTGATCCTGCCANCACAGAGTATCTAGATTTGCCTGGGCAGTATGTGGTGCACGAGAACTTCCACAGAGTCTCTAGATCTGCCTGGGAAGTATGTGGTGCACGAGAACTTCCACAGAGTATCTAGATCTGCCTGTGCAGCATGTGGTGCACGAGAACTTCCACGGAATATCTAGGTCTGCCTGGACAGTATGTGGTGCACGCGAACTTCCACAGAGTATCTAGATCCGCTTGTGCAGCATGTGGTGAACGAGAACTTCCACAGAGTATCTGGGTCTGCCTGGGCAGTATGTGGTGCACGAGAACTTCCACGGAGTATCTAGGTCTGCCTGGACAGAATGTGGTGCACGCGAACTTCCACAGAGTATCTAGATCCGCTTGTGCAGCATGTGGTGCACGAAAACTTCCACAGAATATCTGGGTCTGCCTGGGCAGTATGTGGTGTACGAGAACTTCCACAGCGTATCTGGGTCTGCCTGTTGTTTTGTTGTCTACGCTGTTTTGATGTATCAATGTTTCCTCTCCTTATATTATTGTAAAAGGATAATTTCCAATTATGTTCTTGTATGTTGATACTGTGCTAAACTTTTTAAGATGTTGCTTTGAGTAAGGAAAACATTACAGATCTTTTCATCTGTTTAAAAGGTGCATTGAATTTGAGTTTTTTATATTCATTTTGTCGGATATCTAATACTTCAATGCTTCAATCAGCCTGTTTTGCAGTATTGCATTATAAAAATAAATCAGGTAGATTATTATTAGCGTGAAGTTTAAACATAAGTTTAGAATCTGAATAATTCGATATCCGCAATAGAAATATATATGCTATATTAATATATATGGTTTGTTCTGTCAAGATGCTCGTGTGTGCTCAGATGATCGAGTGACGTCAAATCAAATTGTACTTGACACATTCGACTCCGAAACCACAGGGAAAACAACATGTCTATGTCAAGTTTACAAGGAAGGTGCCGCAAACAACTTTCAGTTTCTAAATATTCAGGGTTTTGGAAATGGTTCTACCCCGAACGTATCCGAGTGTGGTTCTACTGTGCGCTTACGCTCGAATAATAACGAGCATATAATCAACTGTTCCACATTTCCAAGTATCCTCACGTACGTTGCGCCAATGGATGTTATATGGACAGCACTATATGCAGGGGACTCCAAGTACTGCCTAGAAATAACAAGTGAGTAATAACATTCCAATTCAACATGTGGATAGGTAAGTATCGTAGATATGACACCTGTGCCATCTTATGCATATACACTGTAGCAAACGTCAGTTGTTTGATTCTGACTACGGATTTATTTGGACACTAAGTTGTGTACAAATGAAATAAATTGAATACTAGCCTCAACCACAGGACACATTTAATCCCACTATGAAGTGATCTGTTACATTGTGTATGACTGAAACTGTTGATACTGCAGACATGTTGGCGCTGGCAATTGGTGTAAAAGATTCATATACCGTTCATCAATGATTGTTGATTTCTGTAAACACACAACTGTATACGCAACATTATAAACATATCATATAACATGTAAGCATGAATAGTTGAATAGCATTCGTTTGTAGTAAACTGCAATAATAAATAGAGTATCAGTCCTATATCTTAATGTTTATTTGTGTTACAAAATCAGCAACCGTTCCCTCTGACGCCATCATCACCGTATCATGTAGTACAGACGGAATCACCACAACCGCCAGTCCCCCTCAGTGTGTAACGCATCCTGAAAGTACCAGAGAACTTGACGATCTCATATCTACAACACCAACTGGTAATGTACAAAATTGACATGGCTCCCAATGTTGTGAATAACTTAGTATAAACAGCTCGTTTCCCCCTTGTGTTTTTTTATGTTTTGCTGTAATATTTAGGTAGCTGGATGCTGATTTAATTTGAAGGTATAAACAACTGTCGGTATACTTCCTTTATGGATAAGAAGTCATACCGCCTATTCATTATTGACCATGATAGAGGACTTTGTTTTATCAACTTCAATAACTTCGACATTTATGCATTAGTATCCATGCTTTACACATATCTTACAGACTTGAGAGAACGTTTTACCATTGTCTTTCAGATGTACAAGGCCAATGTGTTTCAGGTAAGCATACACTGTACTTGTCATTATATCAAATGCAATTGATTGTAAATCATACATTTTTCATGTTACACCTCATTTACACCAACTCTGTTAATACATATTACACATATATTGGACGTCATTAAAAAGAGTGCACTGAATATCAGGTTCAGAGGTGAAACAGGAACACATGTCGCAACGTCAAGTCAACGTGAAAATCCCAGCTCTAAGTCTATATCGGAAGACAATAACTGGAGCTAAGGAGGCACCGAATAAGCATTCTTTCTCTAAGGAAAATCTAGGAAAGAATACCGAACACCAAAGACGTCGGATATGTTCTGTCGGACCTTAATCATTGTCGAGCTGTTATAGATGTAACCTTTGTCTTTGCCGAACTCTTATATATGAAATCTTTGTCATTGCCGAACCTTTATAGATGGAATCTTTGTCATTGCCGAACTCTTATAGATGAAATCTTTGTCATTGCTGAACTCCTATAACTGGAATCTTTGTCAATGCCGAACTCTTATAGATGTAACCTTTGTCTTTGCCGAACTCTTAAAGATGGAATCTTTATCATTGCCGAACTCTTATAGCTGGAATCTTTGTCATTGCCGAACTCTTATAGATGGAATCTTTGTCATTGCCAAACTCCTTTGACGAACTCTTATAGATGGAATCATTGTCATTGCCGAACTCCTATAGCTTATAACTTGTTGTCATTGCCGAACTCTTATAGATGTACACATTTCTTCCACGTAGCAGTCTCTCATATATAAATTGTAAAATTGTCGAAAAGGCTATATCTGTCGACAGGACTCATCCATCACTAAATTCCTTAATAAATCACGAATGTAGTTATTTAACTAGCTTATAAAGAAACCTGGCACGTTTTTTCTGCTGAAAAAACGATAGCGATAATAACGCTGTTATATCCGTCACAAGATTGTTATCGAGGTGGTCATCATTGTCTAGATCTAAAGCTAATGCAGTTTGTAGATTCCTTAATTACATTGCATTATTTGTACATATGTCTACCACAGCTTTTAACCCAATTGGTTAATATCCAAAGTTCCCGTCCGATGGAGCTACTCTGCATTGACTATTTGACTTTTGAAAGGTCAAAGGGTGGCTATGAGAACATGCTGGTTATCACTGGTCATTTCACCCGCTATGCCCAAGCAATTCCAACCAAAAACCAGTAACGAGTACCACTGCCAAAGTGTTGTACAAGCATTTTATTGTCCACTACAGCTTTCCTGCCCGAATTCACATTGACCAGGGCAGGAATTTCAAAAGCAAAGTTATTTAAGAACTTTGCAAGATAGCTGGAATGGAGAAAACTATACCTACCCCTTATCATCCGATGGGCAATGGCATGGTCGAACGGTTCAACCAAACCCTGTTAAAAATGTTAGGTACAATGGAGGAGGAACAGAAATCCAATTGGAAGTCCTATGTGGCTCCACTTGTCCATGCTTATAATGCAACAAAGCATGAGACAACCGGATATTCTCCTCATTACCTGATGTTTGGTTGGCACCCAAGACTTGGTGTAGATACATTTTTAGGCATCGATATCAGTTCTGAGGCTGAAGGGAGCCGACAGTATTACGCCCAGAAGCTTAAGCGTCGGTTAGATTTGCATACAAAGCTGTCTCGGCTGAAAGCGGGAGGAAGGGTAAGCGGTACAAGGATAGGTACGATAGGGGGGTTAGAGAAGCCACCTTGGAGGTTGGTGACCGGGTTCTTATGAGGAACGTTGGTATACGTGGCAAACAAAAAATGGCTGACATATGGGCTAAGGAACCCTTCATTGTCCTTAGTGTGCCAAATATTGACATGCCTGTATACAAGATCCAGAAGGAGTCGGGGAAGGGACCTATAAAGACAGTACATAGGAACCTCCTCCTCCCTTGCATGTGGCTACCAAGATTAGAAGGTGTTCATGGACCAAGGGAGACAATCCGAAACCATCAGAATGCCAAGATAGACTTAATTGAGAGTTTCTCCTCAACTACTGACTCTGACAGCCCTGATGAGGATGGGAGTCAAACACTCAGGTATATTAGTCTTGCTAGGAGTCCCAAACGCACTGCTGCTGAGTCGCGACAGCCAGTGCAACCAAACACTTTTGATGCAGGGGATCCTCTGAGAAGGGGGAATAAAGGTGTTTGTGGAAAATCCAACACTGCGGGCTACTGGTGGTTATTAACCTTAGGGTTTACTATCAATTTATGTAGTTATGTAGCTTAATTGTAACTTACATTCAATGGTTTAAAAAAGATTGATATTCATATCAGGAATGCATTGTTTCCACTGGCAGTGGGGAGATTCTTTTGAGTGTATAACGTACATGATTATGTTACCTGGGGATACTGGCCAAGGTGGCGAGATGGATATTTAACTTCAGCTTTAAGGGTTATAATTTGTTGTTTGTAGTTTAATAATGCCAGGAATCATTTCCCCTTTGCAGGGGAGAATGTCACGGTGGCCAAACTTATTAACAGTTTGTTCAGTAGGTTTAGTATTTAAAATTATGTATTTTAAATACGATGTAATTTGAGTACATGTTAATACTTGCGCTGTGTATCGTATATATTGGTATATATGTCTGTATCAGGTAATGTACATGTGTTTTAATTGTGACGTATGAGAGGTGGGTGCAAGTATTGACTGAGAGTGACACTTTGACCTATGACCCATATGGCCCTATCCATGCACGTGAAAAACCTCACCCTGGGCTCTGCCCAGGTGAAATTATTCACTCTACACCAACCCTTGACTTAGATTAGTCGCATGTGAATTGCCTGTGTGGGTTACTGCATATTTAATCTAAAATACAAATGTAATATTAAACAAAGTATGAGTTCAGTTTAACAGATTATTAAGTAAAGTACGTTGGTTTATAATCTGTTGCATTAGAATTATATTGCCGTAAAGTATCTGAGGCTATAAGTTAAATTAGGGTACACGTTGTCAGGTCGTGGTCAGGTTTTATAACATCATGTCATAGGGTTAAAATTAGGGTGTAATTATGTTATTTAAGTTTCTGAAATAAAATGTAATAATATAATATTAATTTACAAGTAATGTCTAAATATTAAATAATTTATGGTATTAATATATGCTGATATAGATAGACGTTTACACGTGTCCTATATGTACACTTAGACATCGTATTTTTATTTTAGGGAACTGTCTCCGTTCACGATGTGAATGTTAAATAAACTGTCATCTTTGTGTACATATGTCTATGGGTTAATGTATATTCTCACAAGAAGAAACCCACACAAATACTCGTGTGACATAAACAACCGAAGAGGTGGAGACCTACGTGTGGGATAGACTAGTAACAAGTTCGTGTTTTTCCAGGGAAACATTATCAATATACTTGAGCGTGAAGTGTGTTGTTGGTGATTTATATGTCTGAGACTATGCCGTATACACAATAGTGGTCATTGTAATATATAACATGTTCGTGCCTTACACACACACTATTCAAAGCCTATTCGGTTTGTTTCAGTTGAAAGTGTCGTTTTGACCATAGTGTTTGGATATCTACTGGCAGCTCTTGTGACTGTAACCACTGTGATGTACTTCAGAAGGTAGATATTGTGACACGTCTTTTTCTATGTTTAATCATTCTACTAAATTCCGCCATCCAACCGTCGTATGCTACCCCGATATTCCTGTACATTAAGTTCCCATTGTATTTATAGTACTATGCTTTGCTGCAAAAAAATATTGATCTAAACCATCGTTCACAGTATGTGTCTAGCATTACATATTATGAAATGATAAAAAAAATCTGAGCTTTCAAATGCTGAAACGAAACGTTATGTGTAGCAATCTCAGACGAAGCACAAAAGGGTACACAAAAAAATGGTTAAAATTATTGTTAGTAGTATTTTTTCCGTCCGAATCAGACGTACATTGTAATGTACTGCGACATAAAAGAATTATACATAGAATTAAAAATTGTTTCTTTATGATGTGCTTCCCTAATTTCTACAGAAAACAAAGTAATTATCAGTATAACGTGACCAAAAATATCATAAAGAGATAGAATGAAACACGATCCCAAGAGCCAAGCAGTTATGTTGGGCTTTTTTTTAGGAGGAAAGAAATCCATGTTCTGGACTTATGTCATTATTTTTAACTGTGTTAATATGTAAGACAAGGTCTGTTTTGTTATTTCAGGAAAACTATACGGCTGGAAAATAAAATGAAGAAAAATGTTGATGAATGTCGTGATACAGTGTCGACCGTGCTCACTGACATTACAAGTATAGCCCCGAGGGCGGCCGCACCTACCCCAGTGTCAGAACCACTGACCACAACAATTCCTTTATATGATGAACCTGACTCCAGCAGATATGATGGCCATGACTCTAAGAGATATGATGACCTCGTCTCTAAGAGATATGATGACCTTGTCTCTAAGAGATATGATGACCTCGTCTCTAAGAGATATGATGATCCTGACTCCAGAAGATATGATTACCCTGACCCCACGAGATTTAATGTGCCTGACTCCGAGCTACATGCCGACGTTGACCCCACGAGATTTGATAAGCCTGACTCCGAGAGACGTGATAATGCTGAGTCCACAATACATGAGGACATTGACCCCATTAAAATCGATGACCCTGACTATTTACATGTACTCTAAATGACGAGAACACATCAGAGGTGGTGTTAATTAACATTGGCTATTGTAAACAAAAGGTTATATTTTTTAAATAGTTATAATTTTATATTGATTGAAGCAGACTAACTATTATCGTAGTATAATAGCAGGAATGTTCCCCAGTACTTACATCGTATGTAACGTCTAATATAAACACCCTGTTGTCTATAAACAAATCTTAACACAAAGAAATCAAACAAGTGCTTTCCGATCACAAAATGCCGAGCAGAAATAGTTCCTGATACTTTGACGATTTCACGGATATAGAAAGTAGAGCAAACAACACTGAACGGCAGCTCAATCATGTGGTAGACTTTGTAGGCAATCATTAAATGTGTATGATGAAGTACAATGTACGGATGTTGTCTATAGATAATGGTAGGGATATGGAGACAATCATTATCGTTATCGCTAAAAAGAAATAAGAAAACGGCACATATCAGTCACAGAACACGGTATTCTCAGCTGATGCTTTGGTCATCACAAAGGCGATGTAATCTCGTCTGTTCTTTGTTAATATTATTAGTTAAAACAAATGGAAAATTAAGTACCTTTCAGGGCGAATAAACGATAATAAGCACACATTAAAGTTTGTGCTTTCGGGATGAAGTAAACCAAAAGTGTTTATTAGCGGCTCAAGTGGTCTTGGAAAAAAACCTCTTCGCTGTTCATTAAATTTGTTCCAAAATCAACCCAATTCTTCATGATTCCACAACAAATCATTTACGTTGACTAGGTCTGTGATGGTGTACGCATTGAGCTAACCGTTTAAAGGGAAATAACTCAGCTGAGCTTCAATATCATTTCGTGTGATCAAATCATCTATGTGAATATGTTTTGTTTCAGTTATTATTTAACATTTAGATATCAAGTATACGTTATGAGATATCATGCGTAATATACCAATGTTAGGACTATACGGATATTACTAGTTACTATCAGTTGTGAGTACCAATCCTTTATTTCGTTTCATTGTTTAAGTATATGAATTGGAGTAACATCCCCTTTCAATTGAATTATGTCTCATTGTTGGTAATTTTATTTTAGTTACATGTAGCTACTAATATACAGGTTATGTATTTATGTATCATTGCTTGTTTGTTTTTCGTTATCGACCATCAAATAAAACTTTAAACATGTCGTAAGTGAAATTGTGGGATTTCTGTTAGTCTTTTAGTTCCTTATTTGATCTGGAACAGTTCTGGAACAGATCTGGAACATCAAATCGACCATCAAATAAAACTTTAAACATGTCGTAAGTGAAATTTTATTTTTCATATACTGTCTCATTAGGGACTGAAGGGCGGAACCAAAATGGATAAATCAAGTATACTGTTTCATGACTGTCTTCTTCAATACCGGCAAAGTGATTTAAATAAATTTACAATAAATGAACGCTTGGCAAAGAGGGTTTAGAACATTATACCTATGGGATACATAATACCATCATTACAAATATGTCCGCCCTCAGCCTGACATAATAACGTCATTACAAATATGTCTGCCCTCAGCATGACATAATAACGTCATTACAAATATGTCTGCCCTTATCCTGACATAATAACATCAATACAAATATGTCTGCCCTTAGCCTTACATAATAACATCATTACAAATATGTCTGCCCTCAGCATGAAATAATAACGTCATTACAAATATGTCTGCCATCAGCATGACAAAATAACGTCATTACAAATATGTCTGCCCTTAGCCTAACATAATAACATCATTACAAATATGTCTGCCCTTATCCTGACATAATAACATCAATACAAATATGTCTGCCCTTAGCCTTACATAATAACATCATTACATATATGTCTGCCCTCAGTCTGACATAATAACATCAATACAAATATGTCTGCCCTTAGCCTGACATAATAAGATCATTACAAATATGTCTGCCCTTAGCCTTACATAATAACATCATTACAAATATGTCTGCCCTTAGCCTTACATAACAACATCATTACAAATATGTCTGCCCTTAGCCTTACATAATAACATCATTACATATATGTCTGCCCTCAGTCTGTGTTCTATGTTGGTATACTTGTACCAACCTGACATATTTTAAATAGAAAAAAGACCATGTAAGGTCCCGTAGTCTTGTTGAAAACTAGAACAATGCTATTGAATAATAAAAATATTTTGTTAGAAACGACTATATTTTATTTTAATACTGAAATTAGCTTGTTGAGACCTGGGCTTACGTTGTTACAAAGAAAGTTTCCTTATCGTCAATTAGTTACCTCTGCCACATATTTGTGTCGTTTAATGAAAACATAACATAGCAAACTTTACATTGAAAGCCATTTAATTGGAATTGAAATTTAACATTTAACAAACAGGCACAGTGACGCTTCACACGTCAACTTAAAACATATGTTTCAAACACAACACATATTTGATAATACACCGCTTACTCTGACAGAAAAGTTCACATGATACAAGTTACAGTTAACTTTCATGGTAAAGGACGTAATAGGCTACATAATGAGTCACTCCGATACGTCGAACTCATCACCAACGTTTTACATGCCGTTCAGCAGCTATTATAATATATATAATTGCCCTATATATTCGTGCTCTTGGTCCCTCCGCTTGCTGTCTCTATTCCATTTCAAACTAACGTGTGTATTACATCCGAAAACTTTTCACTTTTTCATACCGGATATACTCTCGGGATGATGGTAGTTTTACTAAAAAATATATCTAGGGTCAATAAAGAGATTGTAGAAATTATATGACATCCCTTAAATGAACTATGATAACATAAAAATTGATTGCATCGCACATCAAGAAGGTTTTTTGATAAGCTGTAAAAACGCGCTATTGCTTGTATTTGCTAAAAATGTTACATTAAAGCCAATCCATTAGATAATATGACAGTTTTGATACAAAGACAGTATCCACGATAATTTCGTATGTCAACATCGTGGAGATAATATCCACGTGAATCTTAGTATTCTTAATTTCCGTAAACATCACGAACAGAAAAAGCCCGCGTGAAAAAATGAAAAAAATAAACTCAAAAATATATATCAGATTGAAAATTGTTCTACTAACAATGCTAGTTGGAAATCTTGACAGAACTTGTGGCGATTGGAGAATCACAAACACACACTCGAACTGTTAGCATACTGCATGGACTACAAGAGGCACATGTTCACAACCTAAACAAATATCACAGATTTCTTACGGTATACAACGTACAACTTAAAAGTTTCACACAGTGTATTCGCACACACTGCCTATTCCAACACTTCCCGATTCATAGTACTATACACTCACAATCCATTACTTTCTGGTATCGCACTTTCACGCGCACCCACACAAGCATACATCTTGTTCAAACACTTAACACCTCCACACACACTGTCGATCCTAAAAAAATGTCGGTATGCAACTCACAGAAAATCTTTTTAAACAGAGGCAACCACAATTCCTGTTTAACTATGATTGATATGGCACAAAGGTTCAATAAGAGTACATCCATTCCTGGTCGGTACCTACGGAGTTGTCTCCTCCTGCGCACTTTGGACACATATAGCTGCGATACTCTGTATTGTAATCCCAGAGAACTTTATGAAATTGCATCACTTCTGGCTGTATTCATACTTAGAAGAGAGACGTGACCAGGTGAACAGTTGCGTGAATCTATCATATTATTAAGTTCGTTACCATGGTTTTCTATCAGACATTGTTCCTCCTGTTCACCGCTTGTATCTATCACGAAGGGAGCAGGGTCTTTGGAAAGATTTTCGAGCATAATTGGATCCTCCTGCTTGTGTTCCTGAAAACCCAAACATCAAAATATTTCTCACTTGTAATTGAAGTATCATGCAATAAACGTACACATATAATTTGTGTTCTGTAGATATACAATAGGTTGTGAGAGCAACTAATGAACACATGTGTAATCACTTACGGTTATATAGTTCTTTAGTTCAATACGGATAAAGATGAAACGATTGACACAAAAAGGTTCCTTTTTGCATAATCTCGTACTTACCCGTTTAATTTTTGTCATGGTTTCTACAATGGAGACGAAAGATGGCCTCTCTTTTGGCTTAGATTTCCAACATTTTTTCATCAGATCAAATCTGAAAAAAGAAATCATTAATTGGTAGCTCACCTGTTTCGACCACAAAGGGGATACGTAACATAGCTGGTGAACCCGACGTTGTGAGATATCTGTCGGGTAACTGATCATTTCGATTCATGTATTATATTTCACATCTATTGATACTGCTGACTCCGACGTCGCCAGATGTTTATCATCTCAAAATGACACATCCATGACGTAAGAGTTGTTAACAGGTTTCACAATAAGTTGTCACCCTCCACATGCCGCCACTTAAGTACACGTTGGTCTTGCTATCGTCGCCATTTTCAACACATTGTTGGTATCTCCATTGATCACCATGGTTTGAAAAATATTATCATGGAACGTTACCGACGATGGCGGCGTGAATGATATGTTTAAGGTCATGTGAAACACACAGCAGTTACAATTTAAGTTGCCTCCCTTGCTACAGTTAATATCCTTACTGTTCCCTCTAAGGTAAGTTTTACAAATGCAATAAACATGTGCAACTCAAAGTCATCAACACCAGGAACTTAAGGGGATATATAACATTTTGATTTAATACTGTGAACACCCCAAAACAATAATAAATAGATGTCGGTCCAAACGAAAGGTTTGCACCGACATCTATTTATTATTGTTTTGGGGTGTTTAAAGTATTAAATCAAAATGTAGAGAAGAAGAACATGGAATACTGTAGATTTTACCTTGTGTTTTCAGAAAAGAAAAAAAGGAATCTGAAGTATTGAGGTATTGTTTTGTAAAGGAATTCGCGATTTTTTCGCTGTTAACGTACAGTTCTCCCGAACATAGTGGCGGCTGGTTCAAACGGCCGTGCCCTAGGACATATTTCATCACTTCAGCGTTCGTCTTTCCTGGGTAAGGCACAAACCCCATCGTAAACACCTCCCACAGTACCACACCGAAAGCCCTACAACAGAAACACGGTTAGATAATACTGCTACTTTAAAATACAGCGGTAAATGAATCTTAACTATTGACTCGTCTAACTTAATGGAACCTATTACTTCGGAGGGTGGGGGAGGTAAGCGACGTAATATGGGAGGTAAGCGACGTAATAGGGGAGGTAAGCGACGTAATAGGGGAGGTAAGCGACGTAATAGGGGAGGTAAGCGACGTAATAGGGGCTGTGTGCGTGTGTGCATTGTACTAATACTGAGTAGTTAAGATTAAATAACAGGAAATTATATTCATGCAGTATCTTGGACTGACTTTTATGAGATTACTAAATGATTTTTCCATAGAATGATAAAAAGTATACAAACTCCTACCGCATTGTTGTTGTTTTTTTAAATTCTTTTATTTTTGAAGATTTTTTAACAGTACATAATACATTTACAATTCATTTTTCCATACACATACACACACTCATTCCATTTCTAGTCGCTAGCAAAAATTCAACACTATATTAAAGATACATAAAAAAATATGTTCTTTGTAGTTAATAGTGTAAATGCATATAATTGTGATATGAACTGTTTTTAAGAAAGAAAAGAATGAGAGATAGAAGAATTAAAGGAAGAATAGAATCAACATAGAGAAAGAGAACTTGAATAAGAGGGAGAAGGGGTACATGCTGACATGACAAGGAACTTTGATGTATTTATTAAAAGAAATAACTCGTTTATGAGTAAAGGTGTGTTTTTTTTATTATAATATTATATTAGTATTAATATTGCCAGGGACTTTGACCTGTTTTTGTATCAACTATATTTCCATACAGCTCTATATTGTAAACATTTGTTGAAAATAGATATCACTATAGAGGATATAAAAATATGGCATTGATAGCAAATCATACCAAGATTCACCCAACTTGAGACTGAATCATAGTATATGATTCTGAACCATGTTAAAGCAAAGAAGACCACGTTCCAGACATAGATTCTTGTATAAAAAGTAACATGTATAAAAATACATGAAAGAAATTTCAATAAGGAACAATGCTACTTAAGAGAATACAAGTCATAATAGCAGGACATACCAAGTTTTGTTGAGAGCAAAATCAAGCAAGACTGAAGCAACGAGATAGCAATGGGCAGTAACTCTTACAGAAAAACACAACTTCCTATCATATTCTTAAATTAAAGTTTACCAAGTTAAGATATCAGTTACAATATAAGAAGTGATCACCAGGCAAACATGTCTATGCAGAGGACAGACATGGAAATCGCATTTCTTTTATAATTTTAAAAGAAAATGAAACATCTAAGTATTTCTATATTAAGATAGAGACCAATAACCTTTCCCATTTTTTCCATTCATTCTTAAACATGGTAAGATAATTTTCCCCTATTTACGTAGAGACCAATAATCTTTCCCATTTTTTCCATTCATTCTTAAAGATGGTAAGATAATTTTCCCCTTTACCAGTAGCTATATATTTTTGAGTGTGATATGTTTCTTTAATACAGTTTTTCAAAGCTGATAAAGACAGGCTCTTTTCCTGGCATCTTGTGTTATACAAATAGTGCTTCATATCAAAATAAGTAAGTTATCGTTTCATTCTCAGTATTACAACCGCTGCAGAATGGACTATCGACTAGGCCTATTTTATAAAGATATGAATTTGTAGTTAGAATATATTGATTTATTCTAAGTTGAAGCCATTGTAATTTTGTATTTTTACAAATATTGAATGGTGTAAATTATATTTTCCTCCATATTTGTTCATCAAAATCAAATATTGCTTCCATTTCCTTTTCCCAGTAGATGTTATGTTATTTTGACACAAACAGTTATAAAAATCTTTTACTCTCTTTTTGTGTTTGAAAAAAAATCTAAATTGGAAGGTACGTATGGTCGATTTATAGTTTCAGCAGAAATGTCATCTATAATAGTTCTTTTTATTGCTTTTATGACACCGTGATAAAAAAGGAAGTTAGTACGAATAATATATTTTTCTATGAATTCTGGATAGCTGTAAAAAATTCCGTTGCTATTTTCTTTAACTACGTCATTAATTATTATTACTCCTTTCCTATACCAATCCCTGTAAAAAATGCTCTTATTTTCTATTGTTATTAAGCTATTGTACCAAATGGGTATTGTTCTTAGAAAACTCCATAAACTTACAAAGATCGATTTTTTTATAACATTGTGCTGAATACGTATTAAGAAATATCCAAATTTCAGGTCCACGAGACAGATAGAACATATAGTCAATGTGTTAACCTGAACTGTAAACAAGGTCAGGTATATATACTTGTACTGTAAACAAGATCAGGTATACATATTTGAACTGTAATCAAGGTCAGGTATATACACTTGTACTGTAAACAATTGCAAGGTCAGGTATACATACTTGTACTGTAAACAAGGTCAGGTATATATACTTGTACTGTAAACAAGGTCAGGTATACATACTTGTACTGTAAACCTAGCAATCTGTTATACTGCGTTGAACCACCGATTTAGTACTATACACGTTCCAAAACATACGTACTTGAATATAATGATTTCAATCAATTTCAATATCTCTTTCACAACACATTTGCATGTTGGTAAGTTTCGCTGTCGAGTTATGTCTCTTTCGTCTATTTGAAGCGAAAATGAGATAGTCACGACTTTGTGCCCAATAGGGAAAGTTGCCAATATGTAATGGTAGCTGGTAAATTACATAGAACGGAATTGAAACAGAAACGCCAACACACATATCATCAGCTTTCCATCATAGTGACTTATCAACATTATTCAAAGCTTTGTCAATTTTATAAATGCACCAAAATGCAACATCTTGATATTTTTTGATTTTTTTTTGACAAATATTGAATTATCTTACATCTCGTTTGTTCTACTTTTAATTATATCAAGGTCAGATATTGAGTTTAAGTAAAAAAAATGATCATAAAACAGAACAAGAAATTAAAATATCAGCAATAAGGAGCATATGTTTCTCAAGAAAACAAATCATAAAAATAACCAAAACCACATACTTCAGTAATGCTGATATGTATATCATGTAGGCAGTTTCTTGTGAACTTGGGCCGTTCCATTTATTTGTTAGTTTCACATTCATAAAATTAAAAAGGATTCGTTGTAACTTTTGGTTATTAAACATCTCAAAATTAAAAACCAATATTTTCCCCAATGTTTTGGTGACGTTACAAATAAATGATAAGATGATTATTAATAAGTTAAGAGTCGAGCTTATGCCACATCACATTAAGAGGAAATTTGGCCGATATCGTAGTTGACCTACTTACCAGACATCTGTTTTGGACGTGAACACTCCGTCCATGAATGCTTCCGGTGGCATCCATTTCACTGGTATCATAGCAACGCCGTTCTTCCGGTAGTAATTTGTTCTGTTAACAAAAGAGAAAACATATTTCCTTTAAGGTTTGAGAACTTGAAGAATGCGAAACTGTGTATCGTTGTTTTATAATGATCAAAGAATTATAGGATGTTTTCGAATACCAACCCTAGTATTTTTTACCGGAGTACGTCATGGTACATGTATTCATGGACAATAAGTTCGGAGGAACTCAACTAATGTTTAAAAATAGTACCACGTTACAAGTTGATCTTAGTCTACAGAGAAAAAAAATAGCATACAAAATTCTTTTAAAAAACAATCCTTTCTCTACAGATATTCCAAAAATAAAACGATGTTAAAACAAGTTTTCTTACACCTTGTTAATCGCGCAACATCTTTTCTGTTCTATTTATTTTTTATTTTTTTGGAAAGTTTTAACAATTTCATTCTAATTTGAATATGCAGAACTAATGTAGTATTTGATCAAGATTTATTGATGAAGTATTTTGGTTTAACGAGAATAAAATACTCGTATAGAGAATATAGTTTTTATTCTAAAGAATACTGCAATGCCGTCAACATCATTTATTATGAGTGTACCATCAGGAGGTGTGTATATACAGAATACAGATGTTATATCAATAACGATAGTTCATCAAAAACAAGATCATAAGATAGATGCAGATTGTTGGCGTAGGTGTTAAACCTCGGTATGTGTTTGCTGGTATTTACCGTTTGATGTGTGTCGTGTTGTACTTATGTTATTCATTATGAAAGGTTTTTTATGAAAACAGCAAAGATAGCACGCGGATGTTTTAATTTGTAGATCTTAACATCGATACCAGTCCAGCTACACTGTTGTTATTGCTGTTACGTCAGTAAAACCGTACATGTCGGGTAGTGAAACATTACACTTTAACAGTTTTATGAAAACCACCTGTTTGCCGAGCGTGGAATTTATAAAGTTAAAACATGTTTGCCTGCTTTTTGCCTATGTTTATATAGAGATTCATACGATTTTACATGATTTCATCATATACACTATCGAAACTGCACAATTAATACTTAAATAAAAAATGAAATAATTTAAGATTACAGGCAATGAGTGGAAGAACACATCGGGAGTTTACCCTTTGGAACGAACGTCTATAGTAATATAACTTATGACGCGTATAAACGCATGTGACGATGCATTACATTACATGGCAGCCTGACCATAAAGACCTTTTGTGAAGGGGGTAATCTGCATTGTTTCCCTGTTGGGGATAAGTTCCCTAGAGTGAAGTCTGAGATAAAATCCTCTTAAGAATAACAAGTCCTCTCATGGGAAGGCTTGTTTGCCTGAGTGTCTGCTGGAGGTCTTGGTCCTCCCACCCTATTTGGCCGATATTTTACAGACATGTTTGACATTGTTGCTATATGAGTGAGGAATAAATAACATCCCTGATAAATAACGTAAACGTTTTTTACCAATATTATATAATACAATCAAACGTTTTTCCGTATTGTTTATTTTTCTATTTGTTTAATTAGAACAATGGTTACACGTTTTGTCAAATTGAACTATTGATAAAGGATAAGTATAAGGGGGATATATAGTGTTGTAAACGAACTATCTGTTTGTGTTATTATATGATATTACATTCCTCAGTGTTAGACACAACTGGTTCAGGTTCTTCAAAATATACAGAGAAACGACCTTGGTTTTTAGAGGAATGGGATGTATACTGTGTCTTTCTTGAAATCTATATAGGAAAACTGTCAGGCTGTGCTATCGGTTTGAGTATGGAGGGATATTTGTCACATCAAATTTTGGATCAAGAGGGTTGCACTTCTTTGATGTAAGTATGTATTATACGAAACATTTATCATGGGTAATTGTTATACATAGAGTAAATAATGTGTCAATTTGTAATACAGGTGTCTTATTGTTCAGTATTCTTTAAAGATCAAATAAAGATATTCAACGTACCGTAGAATGTCTCTCGCCATTCCAAAATCTCCTATTTTGGCTACGCGATGTGGACCCTTTTCTGTTAGCAGACAGTTTCTGGCGGCTATGTCCCTGTAAACAAGTATTATAGATACAGTCACAGCTGGGATGTTTTCTCAATGAAATATACCTCGTTACATATTGTAACTGTGATTTGTGATAGAGTTATCTCTCTTTTATAAAATCATATGCATTATCTTCTGAACCAGATAATATAATTGGTCGTGCACCAGCCTTTTGATCAGAATGTCTTAAGAGCTCGGGACGGCGAGATGTGGTTGTGAGTTTACTCTTAACCCTCGGACATACTCGACTAGTTATACAGACCCATAACACGCCGTGCACGTATACGAACTCCAGCGTGCATACAAACACGCACTTGGACACATAGGGTTTCATGTTCTAAGGTGGATTACGTGATAAGATGCTGAATGTGATGGTATATAACATATTTTAAACCTTAAGAATGGCATGAAAGTAAAATTACATGGATTTGTTTATGTATATAAAATATGTCGGGACCTATTTTACCACGTCATATCTGCCAAATACTTGATAGAATTAAGAATGAAGATTAATGACACAGTAAAATAGCATACGTTCCCTTATATCATTCAATATGGAAGAGTTTCAGTAGTACATAAGTTGTTTTAAAAACCACTTTTGCGAAAACATCAGTGGTGATACTTACCTGTGAATGAACTTGTTACTTTCGAGATACTGACAGCCTTTCGCTATGTCTAAAGATAACTTTAATAAATCCAAAATGCTGAGGGAGGAACATTCTCCTTTCTGAAATGAAAAGAATAAACAATGAAATGTCGAAATTGTATAATCAATGTACTAGCATTGTAAAAAAAAGGCAGATAATTGTTTTGCTTTAACAATACTACAATAAACAAGACGGGGATTGTTCTTATAAAATGTCAGTATGTGTCTGTGTAATAAATCAAGCTACATATTTTTAAGGTCAGTTTAGTGATATACGTTATCGTAACATGTTGTATGTATCGTAATCTGATTTCATCCATAACTGTATTCCCGTCCTATATTATTGAATAATATGCGAGTAGTTGATAGACAATTCAGGTTGCACTGTGTTTGGTGATTGCATAAGTCAAATTTTATTATCTTATATTATTATTATTATTATTATTATATATATATTATTATTTATTTAATAAGGCATTTTCTATTGTGACATCACGATTCATGGAAATTGTTTCGCCTGTTTGGACGCTGAAATCATGCATTGCCCACAGCCATGTTTAGTTTTGCAGATACAATATGAATGTTATGAGAAACTTGTGATATCTTTTTGTCTTATTTATCTACCCCTTGTACAAGATTGTGTATATGCAACCATGGTACTTTGGTGCAGTCTATTCACATTCAATCACTACTAGGCGTCCTAAAAGTAGACTCCTTAAATTGCAACGTACCTCTCTCGGTCGCGCGTCCCTGACAAAAGTACGTAGGTCGCCTCCCTCCATAAGTTCTAATATCAAAAACATGGATCGATCGTCGATGGAAATTCCCAAAAATCTGATGATGTTTGGATGTTTAAACTTACTGCAAAATAACGCAAAAATGTCGTAAATCAACTGCGTGTGGATATTTAAAAGAAGAGAAATTGCAAGGCGCGTTCAAAAGTTATATACGGAATTTAATACAAGTCAAGTTGCAATGTAATTTCGATTCATTTATATTGGTAATGCTTTCTAGAAAATCGATGTATTTCAACCATAATATCAGCCTCTTTGACCTCATACAAATATGAAGAGAATATCGATAACGCAACAGTTGTTAGTTCACAGTATAGCCTTATAATGTTCCGGAAAATACAGTCGTTTACCTTAGAATAATTGCTTCGAAGAAGAACTCGGATTTGGTCTGCTCTGAACACAGCGAAGGTAATGTCTGAAACAAAACAAACAAGAAATGTTGGCTATGGAACAACTGATTTGATAATGTAAAACATAACACTATACAGTCTTGAAACACATCATTGCATATTTAACATTATCAAAATCGTTTTCACAAACCAAAGTATAAAGAAAGACACCACTAATGTTTACATATTGAAGACTTTAAACATCTGGATAATGTTTGTTATCCAATAGGATTATTCCATGTTCAGATAATCATTTATATTGAAGATAAATTTGTGTGGAAGAGAGAGACATTTAGGATTATTCTCCGATGGTTGTCTTACTTTTATAGCTACTGGAAGTTCGTTTCGTAAATGAGCCACATCCGCCAATAATCCGTAAAATACTTCTCCAAATGCACCTTTACCGATCATACTACAAGAACAACAACAAGATATTAAGATTGAACTTTAAAAATAACATTTTGACGATGAGTCATTTAACTATTATTAGTCACTTTGTTGGAAATACATGCCCAGCGATGGCATTATGTTATTATCTCTTTATAACAACTACTGCTACAACATACAGCCTGTAACAAGCGTACCTGACGACTACTGCTACAACATACAGCCTGTAACAAGCGTACCTGACGACTACTGCTACAACATACAGCCTGTAACAAGCGTACCTGACGACTACTGCTACAACATACAGCCTGTAACAAGCGTACCTGACGACTACTGCTACAACATACAGCCTGTAACAAGCGTACCTGACGACTACTGCTACAACATACAGCCTGTAACAAGCGTACCTGACGACTACTGCTACAACATACAGCCTGTAACAAGCGTACCTGACGACTACTGCTACAACATACAGCCTGTAACAAGCGTACCTGACGACTACTGCTACAACATACAGCCTGTAACAAGCGTACCTGACGACTACTGCTACAACATACAGCCTGTAACAAGCGTACCTGACGACTACTGCTACAACATACAGCCTGTAACAAGCGTACCTGACGACTACTGCTACAACATACAGCCTGTAACAAGCGTACCTGACGACTACTGCTACAACATACAGCCTGTAACAAGCGTACCTGACGACTACTGCTACAACATACAGCCTGTAACAAGCGTACCTGACGACTACTGCTACAACATACAGCCTGTAACAAGCGTACCTGACGACTACTGCTACAACATACAGCCTGTAACAAGCGTACCTGACGACTACTGCTACAACATACAGCCTGTAACAAGCGTACCTGACGACTACTGCTACAACATACAGCCTGTAACAAGCGTACCTGACGAGTCTTATTTTAGACCTAGGGATATTCCTGATCATTTCCTCACTATCCTGTATCCACTCGTAATACGGCGATATAGTCATGGTGCAGATACTTCCGTTTAGCGACGCCTGGCGGCCGGAATTTGTGTCCTCCGCAAGTAGCGCCTCATCCTGAAGTGTGTGTTTATCCTCTAGACATGACAGGGTGGTTGAGTTGGTGGCTGACGAGTGGGAGGAGTTCTTTCGGTAAGGTGTCTTACACGGACCTTCTACCGCCTGGCGACGACGCTTCACTACTGATAACACAAGGTGAATGTCATTGAAAGGAAAACAAAAGACGAAAACACTGCGAATGGCATATGGAAAGGTATACACTGTGAGGTTTAGCCACTTCATCATTCACAACGTGCAAAATTTCGTTGTTTTCTTAGCTTGTTCTTTTTAAAAACCATCAATTAAATGGCATAAAAGGTTAAAGTGAAGAAGCTAATTAAATCACTTTACAAGAATTCCTCCAAGGTTCCAAAAGGGCTAAGTACCAGTTACTTTTAAAACGAATAAATAAAGTACATGTATGTAAAACAATACTTTTGTTCTCTTTGACGATTGTTTAGAAAAAACCGTTTTGATAGGCTTATGACACATGGGTATTTCGAGGATGCCAATCTCTATAAGTTAGTCCCTTTGAATGTGAATCTCAGTTTAGTGGATTAGTATGTGCATATATGTACGATTGATCAAGTATGTACATATACTTACGACATCAATATAAAAAAACATCTAAAAACTCTTGTATGTTCATATTTTCTTTTTACATATTTCACGGAGCTGGTCAACGATTAAAACATTCCTGATCCATGCTGATTTGTTTTCAACGTACGTCTTCTTGCTAAAGACAGTGTAGATACTATGTAAACATTTAAGCATATCCAGTTAAAGTAAAGATCACCAACATTAACAATCAGATCGTTAGTAATATTTGTCATGGGATTTTTAAAAAGACATGTTTTCACATTCAAATTAGTCCAACATGATGAATAAAGCATGCTATCTCCAGTCCCGTAAAACATTCTTAGTCATAAACTCCTCTGGGTATTTTGTTCAGTACAACAAAACAACATTCAATATCGCTGATAATTGTAATATATAACCAAACCTATTTATCTTAATCAAATTGATAATCGTTTGGCAGTATTAAAACTGAGACACTACCTACATACCTATCAGTGTCACGGAGACAGCGGGGAGACCAGCTAACACACAACTACATGGACCTGAGTCACTGAATACGTACCTATCAGTGTCGCGGAGACAGCGGTGAGACCAGTACAACACTAGGACATGGACCTGAGTCACTCAATACGTGCCTATCAGTGTCACGGCGACAGCGGTGAGACCAGTACAACACTAGGACATGGACCTGAGTCACTCAATACGTACCTTTCAGTGTCACGGAGACAGCGCTGAGACTAGTAACAACACTAGTACATGGCCCTGAGTCACTCAATACGTAGCTATCAGTGTCACGGAGACAGCTGTGAGACCAGTAACAACACAAGTACACGGACCTGAGTCACTCAATACGTACCTATCAGTAGTACATGGACCTGTGTCACTCACTACGTACCTATCCGTGTCATGGAGACAGCGGTGAGACCAGGCCAGCTAACACACAAGTACATGGTACAACACTAGTACATGGACCTGAGACACTCCATACGTACCTATCAGTGCCACGGAGACAGCGGTGAGACCAGTACAACACTAGGACATGGACCTGTGTCACTCACTACGTACCTATCCGTGTCATGGAGACAGCGGTGAGACCAGTACAACACTAGGACATGGACCTGAGTCACTCACTACGTACCTATCCGTGTCATGGAGACAGCGGTGAGACCAGGCCAGCTAACACACAAGTACATGGTACAACACTAGTACATGGACCGGAGTCACTTCCTACGTACCTATTACTGTCACGGAGACAGCGGTGTACATGGACCTGAGTCACTCCCAACGTACCTATCAGTGTCACAGAGACAACGGTGAGACCAGTAACAACACAAGTACACGGACCTGAGTCACTCAATACGTAGCTATCAGTGTCACGGAGACAGGGGTGAGACCTGTAACAACACTAGTACATGGACCTGAGACACTCCATACGTACCTATCAGTGCCACGGAGACAGCGGTGAGACAAGTAACAACACTAGTACATGGACCTGAGACACTCCATACGTACCTATCAGTGTCATGGAGACAGCGGTGAGACCAGTACAACACTAGGACATGGACCTGTGTCACTCACTACGTACCTATCAGTGTCATGGAGACAGCGGTGAGACCAGTACAACACTAGGACATGGACCTGAGTCACTCCATACGTACCTATCAGTGCCACGGAGACAACAGTGAGACCAGCTACAACACTAATACATGGACCTGAGTCACTCCATACGTACCTATCAGTGCCACGGAGACAACAGTGAGACCAGCTACAACACTAATACATGGACCTGAGTCACTCAATACGTGCCTATCAGTGTCACGGCGACAGCGGTGAGACCAGTACAACACTAGGACATGGACCTGAGTCACTCCAAACGTATCTATCAGTGTCACGGAGACAGCGGTGTACATGGACCTGAGTCACCCAATACGTACCTATCAGTGTCGCGGAGACAGCGGTGAGACCAGTAACAACATTAGTACATGGACCTGAGTCACTCCAAACTTACCTATCAGTGTCACGGAAACAGCGGTGAGACCAGTAACAACACAAGTACATGGACCTGAGTCACTTCCTACGTACCTATTACTGTCACGGAGACAGCGGTGAGACCAGCTAACACACAACTACATGGACCTGTGTCACTCAATACGTACCTATCAGTGTCACGGAGACAACGGTGAGACCAGCTACAACACTAATACATGGACCTGAGTCACTCCAAACGTACCTATCACTGTCACGGAGACAGCGGTGAGACCAGCTAACACACAAGTACATGGACCTGAGTCACTCAATACGTACCTATCAGTGTCACGGAGACAACGGCGAGACCAGCTACAACACTAATACATGGACCTGAGTCACTCCAAACGTACCTATCAGTGTCAGGGAGACAACGGTGAGACCAGCTACAACTCTAGTACATGGACCTGAGTCACTCACGGAGACAACGGTGAGACCAGCTACAACACTAGTACATGGACCTAAGTCACTCCAAACGTACCTATCAGTGTCACGGAGACAACGGTGAGACCAGCTACAACACTAGTACATGGACCTGAGTCACTCCAAACTTACCTATCAGTGTCACGGAGACAGCGGTGAGACTAGTAACAACACTAGTACATGGACCTGAGTCACTCCATACGTACCTATCAGTGTCAGGGAGACAGCGATGAGACCAGCTACCACACTAGTACACCTGAGTCACTCAATACGTACCTATCAGTGTCGCGGAGACAGCGGTGAGACCAGTAACAACAAGTACATGGCCCTGAGTCCCTCAATAGTACCTATCAGTGTCACGGAGACAGCGGGGAGACCAGTAACAACACTAGTACATGGACCTGAGCCACTCAATACGTACCTATCAGTGTCACGGAGACAACGGCGAGACCAGCTACAACACTAATACATGGACCTGAGTCACTCCAAACGTACCTATCAGTGTCACGGAGACAGCGGTGAGACTAGTAACAACACTAGTACATGGACCTGAGTCACTCCATACGTACCTATCAGATCACTGTCACGGAGACAGCGGTGAGACCAGTAACAACAAGTACATGGCCCTGAGTCACTCAATAGTACCTATCAGTGTCACGGAGACAGCGGGGAGACCAGTAACAACACTAGTACATGGACCTGAGTCACTCCATACGTACCTATCAGTGTCAGGGAGACAGCGATGAGACCAGCTACCACACTAGTACACCTGAGTCACTCAATACGTACCTATCAGTGTCACGGAGACAGCGGGGAGACCAGTAACAACAAGTACATGGACCTGAGTAACTCAATAGTACCTATCAGTGTCACGGAGACAGCGGGGAGACCAGTAACAACAAGTACATGGACCTGAGTCACTCAATAGTAAGACAGCGGTGAGACCAGCTACAACTCTAGTACATGGACCTGAGTCACTCACGGAGACAACGGTGAGACCAGCTACAACACTAGTACATGGACCTGAGTCACTCCAAACGTACCCATCAGTGTCACGGAGACAGCGGTGAGACCAGTAACAACAAGTACATGGCCCTGAGTCCCTCAATAGTACCTATCAGTGTCACGGAGACAGCGGGGAGACCAGTAACAACACTAGTACATGGACCTGAGTCACTCCATACGTACCTATCAGATCACTGTCACGGAGACAGCGGTGAGACCAGTAACAACAAGTACATGGACCTGAGTCACTCAATAGTAACCTATCAGTGTCACGGAGACAGCGGTGAGACCAGTAACAACAAGTACATGGACCTGAGTCACTCAATAGTACCTATCAGTGTCACGGAGACAGCGGTGAGACCAGCTAACACACAAGTACATGGAGCTGAGTCACTCAATACGTACCTATCAGTGTCACGGAGACAGCGGGGAGACCAGTAACAACAAGTACATGGACCTGAGTCACTCAATAGCTACGTACCTATCAGTGTCACGGAGACAGCGGTGAGACCAGTAACATCACAAGTACATGGACCTGTGTCACTCCATACGTACCTATCAGTGTCAGGGAGACAGCGATGAGACCAGCTACCACACTAGTACATGGACCTGAGTCACTCAATACGTACCTATCAGTGTCACGGAGACAACGGTGAGACCAGTAACAACACAAGTACATGGACCTGAGTCCCTCAATACGTACCTATCAGTGTCACGGAGACAGCGGTGAGACCAGCTACAACACTAGTACATGGACCTAAGTCACTCCAAACGTACCTATCAGTGTCACGGAGACAGCGGTGAGACCAGCTACAACTCTAGTACATGGACCTGAGTAACTCCAAACGTACCTATCAGTGTCACGGAGACAGCGGGGAGACCAGCTACAACTCTAGTACATGGACCTGAGTCACTCCAAACGTCCCTATCAGTGTCACGGAGACAGCGGTGAGACTAGTAACAACCTAGTACATGGACCTGAGTCACTCCATACGTACCTATCAGTGTCACGGAGACAGCTGTGAGACCAGCCACAACTCCTGTCAGTGTACCGAGTACAATCAGGACCAATCCGGACCTTTCCTTCTCCGATTCCGATACCCGGAGAAACATCATGGTATCGTTGTGTGTATCTGGTCCTGTGGGTTGTAAGTATATAAGGTAAGTGCTGTAATCTACGATTGTCAGTTTGGTAGGGCAACTTCAAATCGATACAAGCAACATCATCTACAAATTATCCTAATAACTACACTTGTAAGCAACCACGTGTTCTCTATAATGTACTTCGGTCACTGATGATCATGTATATACACGTTAACATCACCTTACAGCTGAGTCATGGATATGCCTCCACGTTCAGTGCAGTTGTCACCAATGTAGCATACCCCTTTCTTCCCCTTTTTCAATGCTTAACTTAATTTGAAATCTGTGACAATCACCTAAAGTTACAAAGACTAATATTTTCATTCTTTGGACCTCTCACAGATCCAGTCTAGTGTAAGTGAGCGCATAAATCAAAGAATCGACCCGGAAACCAAACTAAATAGAAAGTATGCAGAATAAGTACTGTTCGTATATCATGATAATGGTAATATCATAAGTGTTATTAGGAACGATAATCGTTCTAGGTTATAGCAATAAATAGTCTAGATCAGACGGAACATTTCAGATAATTGCACTTAAGACCAGCTAATGACCTATTTAACCGAATTATTTTATTAGGTCAATATCAATAATATGACCATAAAACAGCAAATGCCGTGCGCACACGATAACGCGTGTCTGTGTCATCTACGTGTAGGAAAGACATATACTATTACTTTCTAAAATGATTGTCTTTTTTTTAAGTTATCAATAAAATGCCTCAACAATACACGTATACAATACATGTAGCTTTAGAATCGCTAAACAAGTTCGATCATTTTTTAATTTAAATCTAGTTTCAGGCAAAAATATACCAGCTATTTAGCATACCTTGTTTGAAGCATTCGGGAGAAAGGGATACAAAATCCATTAGAATATCCTCCGAAATAAACACCAGCGCCCAAATCTCCAAAGCAAACCTAATGAAAAAGACAGGCAACCAAGGTTCGCAATTACACATGTTATACAAAAGGTAAGGGTTCGCACAAACTTCATGCAGCTATGTAGATTATTACTGATGTACAAACATTAGAGATAAACAAGATCAATATTTGTGGCATTTATTCGTGTGAAATGACAATCCATGCAACCTTGAAATGTAAAAACCCGCCATTTTCTCTCCAGTGCGTAAGTCTGTGACGTCATGTACTTGTCCTAGGCGTAACCTCACAATTAAAACAATTGACACTTACAACCAATCACAGAGCAAATAGGTCATAGTAATAACATGGGTGTATTCGCTATAAATATGACATTGGTATATTCACTGGATAACGCAGGAAATTGTGTGATAAGTAATTATATATGTCAAATCGAAAGAGAATAATATTATTTGTAAAATAGTTACATGTATTTAACAAATAGTATCACATCACAAGGTTATTGTTGTTGCTAGCCCTACGAACTAACCTGCCATGGGTGACAGGCAGTGTGGTGCTGTAATGGTTCCAGTTAGGACTTTTGGAAGGAGTGGATTCTACAGCAAGGGACATCCACGTGACCTGGTCAGAATCCAGCATCTCGTACATGTTCACGCCTACCCTGTCGCGTCGTGCGTTACGCATGGAAAACCGGAGCTAAAATGTAGAAGCAACATGAAATGCTAGATTTTTGAATTTATTAACGAGCAAAAGAGTTCAGGGACGGCAAGGATAACAAATGTCCATTTCAAATGTGAAAATTTCAGGTTTAAAGGTTAAAAAATGCTTAAAAGGACATGTATATGTATATGTGAGTGACCGTACATGTTTTAATATGACAAAATATGGTCTTATCAACGCATAGTTTTGATAAATTTAGACACGAAATATGCAAATATATGACGCAGTAGTACTGTCCTTCTATAGGTGAATTTGAATACGAACATATTGCTTTGGTTTATTTTTCCACAAGAATTTAAAATAAATGATTCACAATTTCTCTTTTCAGCTTCCACGCCATTAACAATTTTTACCTCCAAACTCCAATCGTGACAAACATGATGACTTTAATTTAGCTTTCTTAAGTAGTAACATTATGATCTACTATTGATTTTGTGTAAGGATATGGATTTTCTAGATGCATGTTTATCAATAAATCACTAAGTCAGGGTTTTCTACATGAACTCTTTCAATCTACGTAAGAAAAAATAACTGTAACCCGCAAAATGATACAGGTCGTGGGCTCCCTGATAACATGTCGGGTACTACATGTACATGCGGTAAAGCTAATCCTCTCGTTCTACGGTCGTTGTTGTAACTTTTGTTAATTTTGAGCTGGGATTTTGTCCTGTGTTAAGACTGACAATACGGTATATATTTTACCTGACATGTGTTGTTAGCGTAGTTTAGTGCGGGAACCTCCCGGTAGATGGCGGCATCTTCACTCGCAGAACATTGCTTCCCATGCAATTGTAAAACAACTCCTTTGAAATGAAAAAGCAATCCCAATAATTAAAAAAAAAAAAAAATTGATCACAAATCCAAGCTGGAGTTAAAAATAAACCAGACACTATGAAATGGATACATTGAGTTATGCTTGTAATGGAACAGATACAAACAAATTTGATCTACATTTGACACCAGATCACTATCATTGAACTGTGTTATTACAAATATGACTTAATTATTTAACGTACAATGTAGCAGTTTGCATTACCATGGTTATTGCCGATTTTCTCCTTGTCAATGTCTGTGAAGTTAGCCCTGTCGAACACGCATCGTGTCACGCTCCGGAAAGGGTTCAAAATATTTTCCCAACCACACCAGCCATCCTCAAACGAACAGCTTCCATTCCACTGATTTTCATCTAGCATTAATAAAAATACATATTTTTGGCATAAAAACAACAACTGTCGACACGATGCTATTAGCTCTTTGAGTCAAGAACGCATAGGGTGTCAGCGGGACAAGCATTAACAGCAACTGCATTTGTTTCTTTATTCCCTTAATATCTAATAAAGTTATATCACTTATTTTCTCTACGGGTATGCAAACGCATCATGTATAAACTATCTTTGCTATAGAATTGTAAAGGAATTCTATATTGCCTTGTGAAATATTGGATTTAGAAAAGGAGTGCAGTTAGAGAATTTGATTGTTTTCCATGAGCACGGATAAAATATGTAAATCTGGGGACTGCCTACAGCATAAAGGAAGGTATTCGTCCTCGCCGAACAGGCAGTCAGGGATGAGGTCACACAGCTTGGAGTGAGGTACCCAATGGCAGGTGCTGCACTGGAAGTCTCCTGTCCCGCACCCCACAGGAGCAACCTCCTTCTCTAAACAACACAAAAACACATGTATACGACAATCAGTTGCAGATATAATAGTACATATACATGGTATAGAAGTACAAACACATGTTTCGTTTATGCCCTCTACGCATCTACATTTTTCAAAGTTTAATAGCTTGACCCTTATTCAGTGTGAAGTAATACAGATTTGTTTTTGGAATTTGTCATACATATTGAAAATGTTCTTGGTGTTCTTCGCTATAGGTGCAGTACATACAATATAATCAGAAAAATAACATTTCCTTTTTCATCATTTCATTTGTAAGAAACACTATAATTGTAAAATCGATTATTTGACAACAACTCAATAGTGCACATGAAGCCGAATACTACCATCATTAAACCAATCAGAAATGTGTATTCTATAATTCGGGCCAGTCGGCTACATTATTGAGGTATACATTATAGTCTAAAAACTTAAGTACGATTGTAATAGGATAAATAACATATGATCAATAGCTTTAGTCAATGTAAAGTTGTGAGATAAAGAATTTGCCTGTATCTTTGGGTTTTTTAGCAACAGTTAATCTGATTGTTGGTAAAATGACATGTTTCAGTTGTTGTTTATTATGAGCTGGCAAGTAGACAACATTATTGGTGACAACCAGTACAAGATAACATGTTTTTGTCGCTGTGTCTTCTTCGACACTCCTACTCGGAGTGCTTGGAGATATTGCAGCAGACGTCGCCATGATTTTACATCGATTGAGACGTTAAGGCGGAATTATACAGCGCTTAACAGTATCCCTGGGGGTATCTTACAACAACACCACTCCCTCAACGAGTGATTAACTTCAGTAATGAACCATGCTTGAATTGCTTTTAATTTCCTGATTTATAGGTGTGGGAAATCATCTGTTAAACATCATTAATCATATTAAGATCTACGCACGCTTGGAATTCTATTGTCATCAATAAATTGTCCCCATCGGTGGGCGTAAAACCCTTGTAATAGGAAATAACACACTGAGAAATCAACGTATCTAAAGAAATCTAATAAAAGTTCGAGGAAACATTCAAGTTTAGTATACTGATCTCCGCTTCAGACGGTTGGACTCAGGAGTACTGGTTGAACACCTACGTCTTTAAACCAATATCATGATATAGTGTCACGTCTATAATTGGGTTGTGCTACTTCTTTCGGTATCAATAAACTCACGTATTCCCTTGTTGTGTTTATACATCCAGTCAATCACATGATACCATTAAGTTCCGTGTAGATTCTGGGAATACACAGTGTCTTATAAAATAACACTCCTTTTTACACTAACCCGTTTGGACTGCGATAGCGAATGATCTCTCCCGAGAGACATCTCATGTTACTGTGGTATCCTTTTGATAGTGTCGCTGTTGAACAGTACGTTAATTATTCAAGGTTTTGTAAGATTTGTTGGGAGTAAACATATTTCTTTTTTTGCCTGTACAATTTCATTACNGTTGACCTTTGTCCATGGAAGGTCCCTGCAAAATTTCATTGAAATTGGTTCAGGGGTTTTGGAGAAGAAGTCGAAAATGTAAATTGTTTACGGACGCACGACGGACGACGGACGACGACGGACAAAAGGCGATCGCAATAGGTCACTTGAGACTTTGTCTCAGGTGACCTAAAAATTCTATGGATATATTGTACATGTATTTCTGTCATCCACCACCAGCATGATGTTGGAGTTGAAACTCTTCAAACATCATAGCCCAAGGCAATTGGTAATGTCACGTCAATTAATTCGCTTGTTTTTATTTACGTTTCGGCTCTCTACTTGGCCAGTTTCATGTGAAAATCAATGTATCGATGTACAATTTTGTACACTAATATATCTTTTTTTTTAAAATACAAAACATATCTGTTTGTTTGATTATATTTTGAACCAATTTCAATAATAAATCATTTCATCATATTGCTATTGTATCAGAAATTAAAATAGTTGCAGGTGAAATGTCAATACCAGTGTGTAATACCTTGTGATTCGTACAATTGTTTTGATATTTTTCTTGGGAAAAGCCTGTGGTATAATCGTCTTATATCTTGTTGTCAATATGTTTTAAGGCTGTCGAGGTGGAACAATTGTTAATATTTGTTTGCGTCACGTTTAACTTGTAGAGGGGGTTATGCTTACTCTACAGGGTCCATGAGATATAATACACTGATATCCCTCGAGAACATGCCACTACTATTTGAATGAACTCAATATTTGCTGGTTGCTACTTCTTTTTTTTATATCAAGGTCTTGATACAGGAATTCAAGAAATGGAAACATATAGAATTGTTACTTTCGGGGGAACGGCTGTGAGACTGGACAACGAAAGATTATCAAAGGATAGGAGAATGTTCAACTCCCAGAGTGCTTTAGACGTTAATGGGTTTATTCTGTGTTACGTTACATCCCACGCATTCTCATTAAATACCTTCAGTATCCCCACACTGCAGCATTGCGATGTCATCCACTGCCACGTTTCCACTAACGCTATGCAAGAGAATATCGATGGCGAACGGCGTGTGCACACTTCCAATATGTACCGAGATATTTTGCCAATATCTACAAAAATGCAATAACATATTTTATTACTTATTATGCTCAACGAACCAACATCGACAGTTTGAATTGAAATTAAAAATTCACAGAACAATTTGGATATTGCGTGTCAAAATCATACCATAAAACCAGACGCAATGTATTTGATTGTTTTCATTTTTAACATTATTTTCTTGTGCCAGATGCCAACAGACGAAATATACTTAATCTATGAACCTTTGTTAGACAGAAATTTATTTGGCTCAAAAATATAGCACAATCATATTCATATAGCGTGTTTCCCTCTGATATTCTTTATGACTATTACACTGTGTCAATAATGCGACCAGATTTCACGGAAACATGCTGATCGACCTGTTCCTGTTTACTGAAGTAAATGTCTGGTGGGATCAGGTGTTCAGACAAACATAGTTATTGTTATAAACAAAACAAGTCCAAAACGATAAATAATAATGTGCTTGCCCCTGCAGGAGAATATAAACTACGTATAATCCCCCGTCCCATAAAAGGAACTATTCAATTTGGTTTCTTATATGAATACGTAGCGTAGACCTAATTAAGATGTTGTTCGAATTCATGTGTTTACGTTTTTGGAGTGTTGGAACTGTGCTCCGGCGCGAAGAATGCTGACTGAACAATTCCATGTGTACGTTAACCCTGATTCGTCTTGTTAGTTGCTCTGTCATCAGGATACTATCAAATCGAGTTTCGCAATGTATGTTATATTTTATCACAATTTAATCTTGCTTGTAACAAGCATTTGACAACCCATTCGACAATTGGTTGGCGTATCTCCATAACATGAAAAATATATTCAGGTTAATCCTTAATTAATAGAAAATAAGCCAACCAGTTGTCAAATGAGAAATACATACACGTTAATAAGTATAAATATATCAATGCAAAGATGAAATGGATTTCATTACTTTCCATCAACCGTAGGTTTTTATCTAAAGTACAGAAACACTGTTATTAACAAAACACTACACTATCAGTAAATCCCTGCACAAATACAGATTAAGAGACGAGATACTATGGATCACTGCTTCCTTTTAGTAGGTGTAGTCAAAGCATTTCGTTCAGACATTGTCGGTTTTCTGAATCCGAGTCAGCTCAACTCTTATATATCACAAAGGTAATGCATAGCGACACTCTCCTAATATTAGGTATTACTGGGATTATAAAGAAATCGTTAATTACAAAGTTCCTGACACGACGTCATTGCTCAAATGGACATTACCAATCACACTCAGAACATTGTTATGTGTGACATAAAGTAGATTTAAAATAGACCCAATAAGTCTGGCTTTGGTCATTCCAAATGGTAATTTGTTTAGAAGACAAGAAATATTTTAGGAACGTGGACACAACCTGACTAGCTGCCAAACTCTGGTGGATTCTGGTTACAGAGATAAGGCTTGACTTGTAACATCGCAAAGCATTTCTGAAATATGCTTCTTCCAGCTTTATCAACCCTCAGGTTTCTTTCAGTATGAATCAGACCGAAACTACTAATAAATCAGTGTTTTGGGATGAATAAGAAGAAAGGTGTGTGATGGTATCATTACTGAAAAAGTGACGGAGTGTGTACCAGATGACTTAGAGTTAACACGTGACAGAGTGTGTACAAGATGACTTATCGTTAACACGTAACGGAGTGTGTACCAGGTGACTTAGAGTTAACACGTGACAGAGTGTGTACAAGATGACTTATCGTTAACACGTAACGGAGTGTGTACCAGATGACTTACAGTTAACACGTAACGGAGTGTGTACCAGATGACTTAGAGTGAATCAGACCGAAACTACTAATAAATCAGTGTTTTGGGATGAATAAGAAGAAAGGTGTGTGATGGTATCATTACTGACAAAGTGACGGAGTGTGTACCAGATGACTAAGAATAAACACGTGACGGAGTGTGTACCAGGTGACTTAGAGTTAACACGTGACAGAGTATGTAGCAGATGACTTAGAGTTAACACGCGACGGAGTGTGTACCAGGTGACTTAGAGTTAACACGTGACAGAGTATGTAGCAGATGACTTAGAGTTAACACGCGACGGAGTGTGGACCAGGTGACTTAGAGTTAACACGTGACGGGGGGTGTACCAGATGACATAGAGTTAACACGTGACGGAGTGTGTACCAGATGACATATAGTTAACACGTAACGGAGTGTGTACCAGGTGACTTATCGTTAACACGTAACGGAGTGTGTACCAGGTGACTTAGAGTTAACACGTGACGGGGTGTGTACCAGATGACATAGAGTTAACACGTGACGGAGTGTGTACCAGGTGACTTAGAGTTAACACGTGACGGAGTGTGTAGCAGATGACTTAGAGTTAACACGCGACGGAGTGTGTACCAGATGATTTAGAGTTAACACGTGACGGAGTGTGTAATAGATGATTTAGAGTTAACACGTGACGGAGTGTGTACCAGATGACTTAGAGTTAACACGTGACGGGGTGTGAACCAGATGACTTAGAGATGACTTAGAGTTAACACGCGACGGAGTGTGGACCAGGTGACTTAGAGTTAACACGTGACGGGGGGACTTAGAGGTAACACGTTACGGAGTGTGTACCAGATGACTTAGAGGTAACACGTGACGGCGTATACCAGATGACTCAGAGTTAACACGTGACGGAGTGTGTAATAGATGATTTAGAGTTAACACGTGACGGAGTGTGTACCAGATGACTTAGAATTAACACATGACGGAGTCTATACCAGATGACTAAGAGTTAACACGTGACGGAGTGTGTACCAGATGACTTAGAGTTAACACGTGACGGAGTCTGTACCAGATGACCTAGAGGTAACACGTGACGGAGTGTGTACCAGATAACTAAGAATTAACACGTGACGGAGTCTGTACCAGATGACCTAGAGGCAACACGTGACGGCGTGTACCAGATGACTTACAGTTAACACGTGATGGAGTGTGTACCAGATAACTGAGAGTTAACACGTAACGGAGTGTGTACCAGATGACTTATAGTTAACACGTGATGGAGTGTGTACCAGATGACTTACAGTAAACACGTGATTGAGTGTGTACCAGATGACTTAGAGGTAACACGTGACGGCGTATACCAGATGACTCAGAGTTAACACGTGACGGAGTGTGTACCAGATGACTTAGAGTTAACACGTGGCGGAGTGTGTACCAGATAACTTAGAATTAACATGTGACGGAGTGTGTACCAGATGTCTTAGAGTTAACACGTGACGGAGTGTGTACCAGATGACTAAGAATAAACACGTGACGGAGTGTGTACCAGATGAATGAGAGTTAACACGAAACGGAGTGTGTACCAGATGAATTAAAGTTAACACGTAACGGAGTGTGTACCAGATGACTGAGAGTTAACACGAAACGGAGTGTGTACCAGATGACTTAGAGTTAACACGTGACGGAGTGTGTACCAGATGACTTAGAGTTAACACGTAACGGAGTGTGTACCAGATGACTTAGAGTTAACACGTAACGGAGTGTGTACCAGATGACTTAGAGTTAACACGTAACGGAGTGTGTACCAGATGACTTA